TCTGATTAATTGGATTTTAAGTCACATGACATGTGACTGTTCTTAATTTGGCAAGTGGACAGAAATCGATTTTTTGGCCCATTTAAAATCCAGTTTGATTTTGGTGGCAAAAATGGGACAAAGTCACGTGATTGGCGTCTTTAAGTGTCCTGCACTATAATAATATTTATAAAGTTAGATAAATTTAAAAATATTTTTAATTATTATAATTTTTGATTTATTTTAATTATATTATAATAAATATTTGTTTTTTAATAAAAATTATAAATTATAATTCTAAGCAAAATTGTAATTAGAAATAAAAGCTACAAATTAATATAGAATAGTTAATATTAATAATATATTAAAAGAATTATATAATAAAATTCAATAAATATAAAAATGAAAATATTTTAGTTGTTTTTAAATAAACTTTTAATTCTTATAAATTATATTTATAAATAAATTTGTAATCCAAATTCAGAGCTATATATTTATATATGATATTATGTATTATATTTAAGCTTTGAATTTTTCTTGAATTCAATTTGAATTTCAAAATCCAGTTTGGTTTTGATTTATAAAATACTATACTGTATATCTAATGCCAATTGTTTCGAATTTTAAATCTAGTATTTGATTGGTCAAAGACAAAAAATTTTATAATTTTGTTTGATTGATATTATAGAAAAAATTTAATATTAATTTTTGAATAATCAAACCAGCATTTAAACTCATATAGATCATTCCGAATTATAGAAACTTGAATCTCTATAACTGGTAAAATAGAATAAATTGATAAACTTGGCTTAATCTATTACAAATATGAAAAATATTAAAGCGAAATAGTTTCGTTAATTATCAAATTCATTAAATTAAACTATATCTGAAATCAATTTTTCGATTGTTTTGATCTTACGTGACTGCTCCGCTTTAACGCATCACCAAATTAGTACCCTAAAAAGGGTCGGATCATGTGATATTTGTGTATGTCCGGATTTGTTTTGCCGGGCTGATCAAAAATTTACGCATTCTATTGGTTTGTGCCACAATCAGCACGTGATCAGACCTTTTTATTTTGCCATGGCACCAAATCTGAAGGGCAGAAAGTTACAAACCATTTTTAACTGTTATCAGTTTTTTTTATCGTGTAATTTATGGATTGGAACATATGCAGAAAATCAATGAATGTTCTTATAGTAAACAAACTCGCTTTTTCTTCGCCAACAATGTGCCCTTTCAAGAATAAAGAAATTGACCAATTGTTCTATAAATACAATACACAAAAAGGAAAGAAAAATACTTGATATATATAAACAAGTTAAGATTGATACGTGTAATCTTTTGTATTATGATTATGATTATGATTATGATGATGCTCTCTTGATAATTCTCTAAACTCATACACAAATTATTATGTGATTTATGTGACAATTTATAATAACTATTAGTAAATATATAATTGTAAATAAAATGAAAGTGATCGACAGAATATCACCAATTATTATATAATTATAATTAAATTACTCTAAATCCAATTAGAGACCAACACTCATCAAACCAGCCACCACACAAATCAACAACATTGCAACCGAATAGACCGACGATGAATAAATTGATGGGGTATTGAATGCATGGTTACTTGATGAAGAAGAACTGGAAGAACTCGGGCTACTATTCGATGAACTGCCTGTACTTGTGTTATTACCACTTCCACTGGTGCCAGTTTTGTTTGAACTGTCAGATGTGCCGGTGTTAGAAGGAACTGATACGGCAGTTTTGCTGGGATCAAAGTAATTGTTGGTTATACAGCCATTGAGACAAGTTTTGTAGGCATTAGCGTCAGGGAGAGCTGTTAAAAGAAATAATTAAAGTTAATATGAAAATCGGTTATAAACTGACGCGTCGAGTTAAGTTATTATAACGATATTTACTTGAATTGCATTTGGCTACACAATCATTTGTACTGTTAACATCCTGTCTCGATGGGTTTGGAACTCCAGCGCATTTAGCGCTGCAGTCTAGATTACCTGCACAGTTGTTATCTTTAAGACATTTTGCTATTTTGTTTTCTATTATCAAGAACAAATAAGTATCATATTTTCACGAGTAGAATTGCTACAAATATTCAATTCATAATATCTAACCTTCAGTGCTTGCAGGAGCAGCAGCAGCCGTAGTAGACGTAGCGGTGGTGTTGGTAGAATTCTGAGCATTTGCCAAGGCTACAATGGCGAGAAAAGCCAATAAAATTGCAAAAGTATTGGATTTCATTTTTGTATGTGTGTATTGGTATTGGTATAGGTTTATGGGTTTATGTATTTATGTATTTATGTATTAGTAATCTATGTCTAATTATTATTAAAAAAAAAAGTGGAAATTAAGCGCGAGTGAAGGAGAGAGAAGTGTTGGTTCTATTTATTTGTGAGGAGAAGGGGGGCGAAAAAAGGTTTGAGAGTTGAATGAGTGGATGAGTTGAGTGTTGTAAAAAGAAAAAGAATGAACACACACATGTATTGATTAATAAAGTGATTATGATAATTATAATGAAATGCGGTGATAAATAAATAATAGAACACAAGTTTCAAAGTATTTATATTACATGTATGTATATACATATTACATGTATATACATATATTCATTTTCTTCAGATGACAAGGCAAAAATGCGTACATATATGAACATTACATGCATAAGAATAAAAGCATTGGGAACACTGCATTCTGTGGAAAAAATGTGGATGGGATAAGCGAGATGGCCGTTGTCATCGGGTTAAAGGAAAGAAGACTATAACGATAACAATAATTGAATTTCAACTCTTCTTTTAATTATAACATGTGTTATCGTTATCCTTAATAATATTTTTAATAATATCGATATGCATCCTTTTGTTAATAGAATGAATAAATTTCACTCTCTTCATTTGTTCATTCGACAAAAAAATAAAAAACCGTTACCATCCCTTGAAATCTAATCTGAATGCAATTCATAGTATAAATTTATCACTTACCATGCGGGCGTCAGTCATTGTTTTTATTTATTACCCTAAGGTAACTAATTATAAACAAAATCTATTTACATATTTACAAAAATATCTACAGTCAACTTTCGATATACCGACGTGCAGATCCTATTGTAAACAATATAAATCTGCACGTCGATATATTGAAAGTTGACTGTATGCACTACGACTTTCGAAACAGAAATAATACATCCTTTTTTTCTGTATCGGTATAATCATTTTATTTTAATATTGTGCAATGATCTTCTCCAATCAAATTCAAGTTTTTTAGAAGTCATAAATTGAGGGAACTTTCAACGAAAGCGAAGCACGAACACCAAGAGCTTGGCATTTTTGACCAATTCAATTCATTTATCGAGAGTCCTGACATATTTATTAATTAAGGTTGCAATACTTTTTGAGAGATACATCTTGTGTGCTCGAGATAATTTTTTGTGATTAATAAGGTTGAATTTCTTGGCTTTTCATCGGAAAAGCTTTTAAAGCAAATCCACTGTCTACTTTCTGATTCAGCACCCAGAAAAGCAGATTTATCGGGAATCCGTATTTTATCAACCTGATTACATTCTTTGATTTCGACAAAGTCTGCCATAACTGTCTTCTTAGCTCAAGTTCAATAGGAAATTTTATCATTTTGCAAATAACGTAGGAGCATTACTGTATTTATAGCTATGAATATGCAAGAAAGTCTGTGTTTCTAGAATAATAGAGGACTGCTCGCATATATTTTTTTGCTAAGATAACGATAATGAATGAAATATATATATATAAAGAATGTGAATATTGTAATTGTTCAATCTACTAAAATATATCGTAATTTCATCTGTCGTCATAATTACTAGCACTAAAAGTGTATATATTATAATATATCATCGCCAATTGATTGAGTATTGAATAAAAATTTTGGCGTCATGATGAAATTAGTCAACGTATTTAGTGTGCGAACAACGTTATTACGTTTATATATAACGACCATTGAGACCAGTCGAGGTCATTAAAATAATCTCTAAACAAAAAGTCCCAAAATCAAAAAATCGTTTCAATTCTTTTCATAAGGATTTCTTGTTCTAACAATAATTATAACATTCAACCTGGTGATTCCGCACTTGCCACTCATTCTCCCCAAAACTCCACCGCGTAACAAAAACTTTTCAGCGATGGGAACTTTTACTGATAAAGGGGGTTTTGGAAATGATTATCTCGAGGGTAAATTATCATCGTCTTCCGTTTTTTCGAATTTCCTTTTTTCGTGTTATATTCTCATTTTATTGAAAAATTAGGATCTTATATTGCATTATTTGCACTCTTAATTATCTGGGCCACATTAATTCTCTTTGCTGAATTTGTTCGTAAGAAGGAATACCTTACAGGTGAAGGTGGTCGTGGATATCCAAGAGCGACAAGTGCTGGCGATGAAGGTGTCTCGGAAACATCGGGATTGTTGGTTACTGAACGTAGAGAGGAGTCGGAAAATCGTTATGTTAAAACCGCTAACGCTGCTAGAGATGCGATATTAATGTTGTTGATTGCAACTGTGGTATGATTTCTATTTTTAATCGACATGGTTTTTTTTGTTTATTATTACTCATCGTTTAATCTCCAAAACACAGGCCACACAAGTTGGACATGGTGCCACAGTAGTAAATAATTCATTTTTTTATTAATTTACATGTTACCCCATATTAATGAATTTAATTCTTAATTATCAATAAAAGGCGTCTGCTGTACTTACGTGGATCTTTTTCGGTCTTGCAATTCTATGGATCCTCTCCGTGCTTCTATTCGATCACATTTGGATCCCGTTAGTATTTCAAGCACTCGCCTTACCATTTCTCGTGGCAATCTTTGCATTGGCTTTTCGTCCTTATCAGAATTATCCGAATTATCCGGAGTATCCGCCGCCACGTCCTCTTCCTCCCCCTTTGGAGCCAACTCCATCATACCGCTAATTTACATATACACCCAAGTTAGAATACTATCGCTATCAATTTCTTGTCTGACAATATAGCATTACTACTTCTACGGCTATTATAAAGCCTTTAATGAAATGAGGTGACACAACCTCTTGATTAACAGTTGCTTATTTAATATATTTGCATAAAAAAACAATACCATTCGATCATAAAATATGATTCATGCACATGTTACGTAGTACATATGATCAAAACTTTTTCTTACTCATTTTCTTCAGAATTGTGTTTAATGCAATTAATGCGTGCAACTTTATTAGTGATATTAATGTCGTGTCCTTTTGGTGTTCTCCAGTTATTTTGTTTTATCCGAGTACTTTTTGATTGTTAGCATACCAAATTTCAAATGGCCCGAGAAAAACCACTTGATCTCTCTTTTCGTATAATGGTCTTACACGTACCATTATTATGCCATACTGCTGTGTATGTTTCATATTATGCAATGTCACGACACGTTTATTCCGGGTCCTATGGTAATACGTATTGTCAGATCAAGCAAAGAAGTATGGCACGAGTAATAAAATGTTAGTGTGATATGGTTTTTTTATTATACTTTATATCCTGAACCAATACCAAACCCTTTTTCAAAGTAAGTATGACATACTTGTATGTTTTTCTGATCATATCATACTTCTTTCTTTTATTTGACAATACGCATTAGTGTAGAACTTGTAGTCGGGCTTGTTCAAAACCATGATTCATATTGGCATGAATTTTTATAACATATCTTAATTGTGAAAATACTCAACTTTTACAAATGAAATGTGTTTCAGAAGAGCCAAAAGATTACAAAAATCTTCATTTTCTAGTACTGAAAGTAATTCTAAAGAATTATTAATTTGTTCTTTTTCAAGACAATTACAAATTAATTATATATTTTTAAGAATGCTTTTGTAAGTACTTGTTCAGAATTTATAATAATATTTTTAGTTTTGTTCATTTTTTTTCCATAAAAATATGATTTTAATGGAATTTTATAACAAATAATACATGCAACTATTAGTATTTTTATGAACTGAACTGAATCAGTTTTTTGTCTGAATTTAAGTTTGGTTCAAATTTGAACTAACTCGAATCAAACTTTGGCTTGAGCTCAAGAAAGTAAGATTTCGAATGATTCAATTCGGTTCATTTTTAGCAAAAACCAGAATTAACTCAAATTTTTCAGTTTAGTTCTAGAAGAATCTGATTTATAGTTTTACAGTTGATTCAGTTCCAGGAAGAACTGGATTTAATTCAAATATGAGATATTTACAATGAATAGTAGCTAAAACAAAAAATAATTTGGTTAGATGAAAGCAAATTTAAGTTATTTGAATTTGATAGTAAAGAATATTATTGAAGACAAAATAAAAAAGTGTTTAAAAATATTTTTATAAAACTAACTGTATTATAATCAGAATATTCTATAATATGATTATTTTATTGATAATTAATTATTATTATTATATTTAATATTTTTAATTATTTAATTATTTAATTTATTATATTCTTATTGGATAAATTTGAAATCATTTAACTTTTATATTTGATATATGATTTCTACATGTGACTTTTATATGTAAATTTATATGTAATTATTACTATTTATTATTATAAATTCTTATAATTCTTATAATTCTTATAATTTTATAATTTGCATAATTTGCATAATTTACATAATTTATAATTTATTGAATTTAATATAATTTATTCAATTTAAATATAATTTGATTTTTTCAAATATAATTTATTATCTTTTAATTAGATTAAATTACTTTAGACTAAAATTAATCTATTTTTATCAAAATTAACTTATTTAAAATTTAGCATCAAAAGCAATATTATTTATTATAGAATAGTTTGAATATATCTTTGAACAATCTTGAATATTTTTAACAAAAAAAATTAAATTTACTCAAAATTTTATTAAAATAACTTGTTTAAATACTAATTAAAAATGTTTAAAATTTCTTATTATATATAATTATATATTTTTTATTTAATTTTTTTAATAGTACAAGAGTTTGAATACTTAAATATTTGAATATTTGAACAATTAAAAAAATACTTGAATATTTAAAATATATAATACTGTTTAAAAATATATATAAATATAATTGATCTTGTAATTATAAAAAAATAAGTTGTAGTCAATTAGATTCAATACAAAAATTATTACAATTAGTTCAATTAATAATTTAATAAAATATCTTTAATAAAATATTTATTACTTGATTAATTAATTAATTATATTATAATAATTATATTTATTTACTATACTATATTGAACACTTAATCAAGTTGCTAAAAAATATTAATATTGTATTATTTTAGGATTATTCTTATACTAAGTAAATAATTAAATTTGTTAGTAGTAGTAATATTTTATTTATTAATAGACAAAATTATATAACATATAGATCACAAAGTTATATACTTATTAAGATCATAATAAATTATTATAAAAATAATTGATTAAATATTATAATATTATTTATCAAGAGTCTAATCATAATAATAATAATAATAATAATAATAATAATAATAATATAATAATATGTAAGTATTTTACTTGAAATAATATTGGGAATCTCAATTAAATTAATAATAGAATAAATGTTGATTTTTATAAGCTAATTCTATCTGAAAATCTTTTATAAATAATTAATTATTATAATTTAATAATATTGTTACGGTTACTTTAAATGAAGAGTTTCTTCACTATTAGTAAAATAATTATATGAGTTGAAAGAGAGGAATAGACTAATAAAATTGATTAGTGCAAAAATAAGTATCTAAGTCTGTGCCAATTTTGACAGAAATTGT